CCCCGGCGATGGACGTGAGGTCCATCAGCTCGCCTGCGCGACGGTTCAAACCGTCGCGCAGGCGAGCTGGCAACAGCAAGAACCCACATGCACTCCATGCCGCGACGCCATCGATGCAACCAAATGACGAGATAGCTTCGCGGCCGTCCTTCACAATGCTGCGGTCGCGATTCACGACCGTCGTCCCCACGCACTTCCGCTGCCCGACAGACGAGCTGGGCGACCCACAGCGGAACCCCACCGGCAACCCGCTCCTTACAGGGGTCGGCGGGGATGAGCACCAGGCTCACCCGGTGACCCCCCCACTCTCAAGGCCCACCATGGCCAGGGAACTGTGACGATCGGAAGCCGGGCAAGGGCTGCTAAATCCGTGGCTGCTAAAATCGACCTCCAGGAAAATGTCTTCGTCCTTCCGGGACGAAGCCCGTTGACTGTTTCGCGTGCCGCGCCTCGTTCCGGGAAGTTGTTTTTTCCTTCCGGGAGGGCCGTTTTAGCAGCCACGGTTTTAGCAGCCCTCGCCCAGCTTACGAGACGAACTCGACGGTCCATTGGACTCCCCCCCGACAACTCCGACGGCGACGAGGAGAACCCGCACTCACTGCAGGGGGGCCCTCGGCAGCAACGAGGGCGACACTCCTCACCCACCAGATGGCACGACAGCGATGGCCGCGACGCGGACGACGATAGTCAACCCCCACGTCCAAGCAAGTACATGACTTGAGCAGGGACCGACCGTCCCGGCATTCCTATAGTCCTACCGCGGAATGTTCTTAGAACCCAAAAATGTTCTAAGGACACAAACAATGTTCGTAGAACATAGATCCGATGTGGTAAAGCAAGACAGACTCCGCCAGAAATGTTCTAAGAACAGTTCGTTGGAACCTCTAAAGGTTCTTAGAAACTCGTTGGGTAGGGCTGTAGGCCAGCCGGGACGCCTCGCCACTGCTTGAATGACAACACTGACCCAGAAGGTGAAGGCCAACCAGGACCCCACCTCAGGCACCGCACTAGGACCCACGCGGGACAACACAGGGGCGGACCAAACGGGCGGCAGCGCAGCCCCTGCCGTCTCCCACGGAGACCAGCGGCCACGGCCCAGGGCACCACCGCGCCAGCAGCGCCGTGCGCCTGGGAGATGACCTGCGCATGGCCATCGACGGGCCGCGGACTGCGCCCCGTGGGACCACGTCCGTCGCCCTCGGGGATCTTCTGACCCGGGTCAGTCCAGACCGGGGTCAGCAGGAAACCAAACACTGCAATGCAGGAAACAAAACACTGCAACGCAGGTCTTCGCAAACCCGGGTCAGCCAATGTGTGCGGCCGCCTCGCGGCCACTGACGGTTCGCTAAGCCAGGTCAGCCAGAGGGGGTCTTCGCAGGATCCTGCAGGATCTGGCGCCGTAGCTGCTCCCCGTTTGCATTGGCCCCCGTCTCAAGGCTCCCGACGACCCAGCCCGCTGGGCTTGCCGGTGCCGCCGCCACTCGCCATCGCTCGGACGTCCATTCCCTGTGTATTTTTGTTTCGGTCTCGTGCGTGGCTTCGCTCGCCGAGTGATCCAAAGGAGGCTCCTCGGTGGCCCTCGCCGAAGGCACGGTGCACACGCCCGAGCGCTGCCGAGCCCCACGCAAAATGCTCCGTGGCACCCGGCACGTCCCCGGCCCCGCCAGGGCGCGGGGGCCCAAAGGCCCCCGGTGCCAAGGCCGCCAGGGTGCGGGCGCCCCAAGGGCGCCCGTGCAGAGGCGTGTGACCCACCGCTGGCGTGTGCCGGCGCGCAGCGCCTCACCGCGGCCGAGCCTCTCAGCCTCCGCAGGATCGCGAAGCCGCGCGGATCACAAGCACCACGGCGCTGCAGCAGCGTGCCTCCAGCCTCTGCCCCCACGCTGCGCAGCATCCAGGAGCGATCCAAGCCCCTTCTCGACAGGCTCCGAAGAGCCCAATGCGCTCGGAAAGGACTCCAAGAAGCCTTGCGGGCGCCTGCTCTCCCTGGGGCCACTCTCCACGAGCATCTCCAAACACACCTGCTCTCCCTGGGGCCAGCTCCAAACACGACTTGCCTCTCACCGCTAGTGCTCCAGTGTTGGCCTCCTCCTCTCATCTTTCGAGCCCTGCGAGAACACCTGGCAACTTGCCCCGAAGATTACGTCGGGCATGTCCCCCGTACAGGCGGATTTTGAGGAAAACATCAAACATAGTCAAACAATACTCCAAAGTAAACAAAAAATGCAAAACATAGTCCCCAGACTATTTCTTTACTATTTTTGATATTCCTCCTGTAGAGGGACACGCCCGACTTAACCCGAAGACCTGGCATTTGGTCGCCGAGGGGGACTGCGCCAAGACGGCGCGCCTTCCTTTTCTCTGGGCCCCCGAGTCGCGCATGCTAAAAAAGGCGCTCCAAGCTGGTGTGCCTCTCTTCTTCCTCCAAGGGTCCAGCAGGGACGAGGGCCTCGCCCCTATCGTTAGGTCGGGCCTGTCCCCCTGCAGGCGGATTCTGGACGACAAATAAAAATACCCCAATCATATTCAAACGTTGCAAAGCATAGTTTGAAACAAAGCGTCCCCAGACTATTTTTGACTATTTTTTAGCACTCCTCCTGTAGAGGGACAGGCCCGACTTTACCCCATCGCCACATCCCGCTTCTGCTCCACAGTCGGGGTCTCTCTTCGACCGCGCCAGGGGAGGCTTCTTCTTGCTACCCCTGCCACCCGCATGCGGCTCCCGCCAACGAGGTGCGGGTAAGCGGTGCGGGTGTAGAGGCCTCCTAGCTGGGGTCCGAGCAGGTGGGGTCGGAGGATCGCGCCGCATCGCCCATGCATCGCCAGTGCATCAACGACGCGTCGGCGATACATCGGCGACGTCGGCGTGGGGGACCACGGTCTCCACATCGAGCCGCATCGTCGATGCATCGGCGATGCGGCGCGATCCTCCGACCCCACCTACTCTTAGGTCGGGCCTGTCCCCCTACAGGGGGATTTTCGACGAAAAATAAGAAGTACACCAACAATAGTAAAACAACTAATCCCAACATAGTCTGTTGTTTCATTATTGTTTTATCTGTTTGGGGTATGTTGGGGGTATTTTGAAAATTTGTCGTCGAAAATCCCCCTGTAGGGGGACACGCCCGACGTAAACCCACTCGGACCCCATCTGGGAGGCCTCGACGGCCACCTTCGCCCGCGGACGCACTGCGGCCCGCCCTTGCCGGCAGCGCTCCCCTGCGCTCCTCGAGCAGCCCCGCCGGACGCCGGCCCGAGAGGCACCCTCTCTCGGGGGAGGCGCCGCGGCTGCCGACGGTGCCGCACGCAGGTGAAGGGGCCCCAGGACACACAAGTAAATACACACAAATTAAAATATTCTACATATTTCCGCATATTTTTTAAGTTTTTGTCTTCCCCCCCACTTCCCATGTTTTCCCATGTTTTCTGGGGAATCGACGATTAATTGTGTCTGTGTGTTTTTTCCCCTCCTGAGCAGGGGCGGGCTCGCCGCCCGCGCCGCGGGCCCCGCTCTCGAGGCCGCACGGGCTCGAGAGCGCGAGGGGGCAGCGCCGGGCAGCGCCATCTGTGTGTGGCAGAGTCGCCACGGGGAAGGCGGAGCTGGCCAAGACCATCGTGCAGGCCTTCCCCGCGAAGGCCCTCCGGGACGAGCTCCGAGGGCCTCCTGGCCGGCGGCGTGCCTAGGGCGCGCCGCTGCGTGGGGCGGTCGCCGGGGGCCGCAGCACAACTGATCGTGCTGCGTTGGAGGCCAGTCCACAAGAAACCTTCCACAAGAAGCCCAACCCCGAGTCCCCAGGACGTCCATTGATTCTTGGAGTGGGGACGTGACGCTCTCCATAGCCCACAGCAAAACCATCAAAACCCACAAAGCCCAGGGCACCCTGGAGGCAAGCAGGGTGTTTCTTGGCACGGGCCTCCACGGCACGCAGGATTCCCGCAGATCACGTACAGGCGAGGCCCGAGGAGGAGCGGGCTGAGGAATCGAGGGAGAAGGGGGGGGGGCAGCCTCGCAGCCTCAACTTCCCACGGTCCTCGCGCTGGCAGGAAGAGCGCCGCACGAGGAGCGGCAAGGGGCCCTCTCTGTGCCCAAGGCCGGCCTCGGCCACGGGGCCCCTATCGAAGGCTGCGGCCCGAGAGCGAGAGCCCCACCCGAGCCCGAGGTGGTGGCTCAAAGCAGGGGAGGGCGCCCCCGCGCGGAGAAGAATTGAGGGGCAGGCCCGACTCCTACACAAACCTCCCTTTCGTACACCGCCCTTTCGTACACCTCCCTCCGGGACTTCGGCGGTGGACAAGCCTCCCTTTCGTACACCTCCCCTTGGTGAAAACGGCCTGGGACCGAAACCGACGGACCTGGACCCGCAAAGATGACCGGCCGCGACGCCCTCTCGCGAAACGAAAACGGCCGATTCCTTAATCGACGTGTCAGGGTAGGAGGTCTGTCCACCCCCGAGCACAGGGGGGGATGCATCGATCTGGAATCGGCGGCACATCGCCGATAGATCGGGCGAGAGGCCTGCGATCACGAATCCGCACCTTCCTGAGCTGGTCGGGGGTCGATGCACCCCCCCCCCCTACAGTCGGACTTCCCTCGCTTTTGTCTCGAATCCACCTGTACCGCAGAACGAAGTCGAAACGAAACCGGCCCACGAAATCACGAAAAACACCGTTTGGGTCCAGCCCTGCTCCGGGGGTGCGCTCTGACCAAGATTTCGGGGCGCGTCCTGCGGTGGCGAAGGAGGCCTCCCAAACTGCCCGACAAGACAGAAACGAGACAAGGGCAGCGGAAACGGCACCTTCCCCTCCTCTGGCTCACCTGAGCGACGAGAAGAACCGGGCCCTACGCGATGCGACACACCGACCCTACGCCGCGGCTCACGCGGGCCGCCAGCGCGGCACACCGCGTGGAGAAGATGGCGCTTGCGCGAGACCTTGCGCTGGAAACTCACGCGCGACTTTCCGCGCAGTCGGCCTCAACTCATCCCGTCGCTCACCTGCAGCCGCGCCCCCTCTCTGCCCCTTGCCACCGCCGTGCCCTCCTGGCGGCCGCGCACCGGGTCTTCCGCGCCCGTAACGCCCACACCGCCAGCGCCCGCGCCAACAACAGCATCTCCAGCCGAGCCGGGTCCAGGACGCGGTGGTCGGCGGCCTTTCCACGGGGGAAGCGGGCCTCCAGATGCTCCTGGGACGAGGCAACTTCTGGGAACTGCCGCCATGAACGGTCATTGCCCCACTGATCACCTCGGCTGCCCTCGTCCCGCGTGGCTCTGTCGGCCTGGGGCTGCCCCGGGGGGGATGCGACCTGGGAGGGGGGGAAACTGCAGTGCCCTCCTCCCCCTATTCCTCCTCATCCTCCTCGTCCTCGCCGTCCCTCTTCCAGCTCCTCCTCCCCCTCCCGTTCCTCCCCCGGTTCTCCGGCTGTTCTTCCTTCAGCCCCTCCACCGCCTGTTCCTCTTGTTCGTTGTCCTCATTTGGTTCCCCCTCCTCCTCCTCCTCCTCCTCCTCCTACTCCTCCTCCTCCTCGATCCTCCTTCCTCTTCCCCCTCTTCTGTTCCCTCTCCTCCTCCTCCTCCTCCTCCTCCTCCTCCTCCTCCTCCTCCTCCTCCTCCTCCTCCTCCTCCTCCTCCTCCTCCCCATCCTCCTCGATCCTCTTTCCCCTTCCTCCTCATCTTCCACTTCCTCCTCCTCCTCCTCCTCCTCCTCTTCCTCCTACCCCTCCTCCTCCTACCGCCACTATTGCTCCTGATTATTTCTGTACGTCCCCATCTCCTCCTCCTCCTCCTCCTCGTCCTCTTCCTCCTCTTCTTCCTCCTCTACCTCCTCCTCCTCCTCCTCCTCCTCCTCCTCCTCCCCGTTTTCCTCTTCCTCGCGATGGGTCGATCGTGCGCAAGACCTTTCGGTGACTCAGAAGCGCAGGTTCTTCAACATTGAGAAAAGCCGTTGCCACGCAAACTAGTGCAGCAACATTTCTGACGAACTCGTTCCCCAGTCGGATTCATGTTGTTTCGGCGGCAACGTAAGTGACTACGTGTAAGGGTTGAAATCGTGTTGATGGTCGCCACGCTATCTTCACAAAGCGGTTTTAGTTATGAGTACGGCCAGGGAACGAAGTCTTTCAAATTGGTGTTACTTCCGCCGGGGAACGAGTCGAACAACCGGGGAACCAGGGAACGAGTCGCTCGCGCGGGCTCGGGGGGGGGGGGGAAATCGAGCCCGAATCGGCGACGCATCACTGCTAGATCGGCGAAAGGCCCCCGATGGCTGATCCGAGCGTTCCTGGGCGGGGTGGGCTGTCGGAGCCCTATCGGCATCAATGGGTTATCGGGGGTCTGTGCAACCTTGCCACACGATGGCTCTGTAGGGATGGGAATCAATTGAACGGTAATGCTGAGGTACTGCGTCCTCGGAAACCTCGACCCTTTCCCCAGGGGCCCAAGATCTGAATTGTTGTCCCCCGTCGTTTTTTGGCGGTCCCGGGCCCAGAGAGGCCTCCCAACGGCCGACAAGTGCCAAAAGCCGACCTCGTGTGTTGTTGCCCACGACGCGAGCATGTCTGCGCTCCGCCAAGGATAAGACATGGCTTGTCATTTGGCGTCCTTGGGCTCGGGCCTGCGGGCTCTGCCAGCACCAAAGCATGCCTGATTATCAGCACACGGCATGCGCTGCGAGCACTGCTTACCAGCCTCGAACGTATCCCTATCCCTAAGATTGACAAGCCAAAAGGCGATGACAATCTTAGGGATTCGCCCTCAAAAAATAAGGGAATCCCTAAGATTGGCATCGTGATGAGGAGGTGCCCAGCATAGGGATAGGGATATGTTCCAGGCTGGCAAACTGCGCCATGCCTGCTATCACAAAGCATGCCTGCGAGCACTGCGCTATGCCCGTGGCGGCGCCGGAGGCGCCGCCAAGGGGCTCCAGCAACGATCCGAGATATCCGCGCGGACCTCCGAGACTTTCTGTCTGCGCTGCGGATGCCATGACAATGGACAATCTAACAATCCGATCGTTGAATTAATGATGTGTGTTTCAAAATGTGTAAAACATACTCTAAACATGTTTCACACATGTTTCGTACATGCTTAAAACATGTTTGAAACATGTTTTAGACATCTTGAGAGTACTTAGCAGCATGCTTCCTCTAGAGTAACCGATTTCCACAATGTTTGTGTCACTGCTTGTTCCCCGAGGCCCGTCAGCCAGGCCGCTCCCGCGTATACCCGCCGCAACCACGCTGCGTGAGCGCCCCCCGCGCCCGGGCCCCCTCCCCGCGGCCGCCTCCTCGCCCCCCCCCCACCCTTAGGTCGGGCATGTCCCCCTGCAGAGGGATGTTTGGCGAACGCTAGAAAATACTGTGAAAATACCCCACAACAGTCAAAACATACTAAACGCATCGTCCCTTGACTATTCTTTGACGAGCACCCGGGGGGGGGGTTGGCCCTGGAAACGTTGGACGTATACGTGCACCTCTGAATCCCACTCCCCTCCTAGGCTGTTCGAAGTTTGGAGCGACCGAAATGCACTAGGTCATTCTTACCACACTGCACTTGCCCAGGCAACGTGGGGTTTTAATCACATCACTACGTGATTGCGGAATTCGTGGAAATCCCCTCGTGCACGCGGGGAACTCGCGCAGCGGTGCCCCGGTCTCGCCTGGGCGCGCGTGCGGATCGCCGCTGCCGCGCTGCGACATGGAAAGTGCCCTGGGCCCCACGAAACCACACCCCCGATGACATGATTTGTCTTTGCCGTCGGCCCCCAAGAGGTTAAGATCCATTCCCCGGGAGCGGCTTCCAATCCTGAATCATCGATTGACGGCCCCGAAGCCGGGGAAGGGCCCCCGGAGACCGAAAAGATACAACAACCAGCCGTCGTTTGTATACATATATATACATATGCACACACACATATATATATATATATATATATACACACATGCATATATATATATATATATATATATATATATATATATATACATATATATAACAAAGCGTTGGGATATGAGGAGTAAGAACACCGTAGAACTCGGCGACGTCGACGAGCGCGGCGACGAGGGGCAGCAGCGGCGCACGAGGCGGGCGGCGGCCGCGACGCGTTGCCGAAGCCTCGAAGCCCTGGAGGGCGCCCAGGAGCAGTCTCCTGCTGCGCAGGGCGAGCCTGCCGCGAGGGGCAGAATCGGGCACGGGCGGCCGGGCGGCCGCGCCGAGGAATAGGAGAAGGAGGAGGAAAAGGAGGAGGAGGAGGTGGAGGAGGAGGCGAGGCGGAGGAGGAGGTGGAGGAGGACGAGGAAGGAGGACGAGGGGGAAAAGGAGGAAGCGCAGAGGCCCCAGGATGCGAGGAGGAGGAAGAGGAGGAGGAGAAGGAGGAGGAGGAGGAGGAGGAGGAGGAGGAGGAGGAGGAGGAGGAGGAGGAGGGGGGGGGAGGATGCGCGTGTAGGGAGACGGCCGAGGTGCCGTCCCTATACGGGATCCGCCGGTAGAGGCGAGGAGTAGGATTCCTTTTTCCAGGGCGCTGGGCAACGAGCAGTATACCGACGTTGTCTGGCCGATACCTGAACCGAGACAGTTGCGGAAGAAGGGATATAATGGGGAAGTGAGCGGACTTCACGCACGCCCCCCGCCCCGAAACCTGCCAACTTCCGATGGCGTCGGGCCCGCGGGAGACGACGGCAGAGGTCGGGAACAGAGGCGTGAGGTCCATTCACAGCCCCGTTCTATCCACCGTCCCTCCAAACGAAGGTGCGTCGGCTAGGAAAGGTGAGAGGAAAGACCAACCCCGTCACGCGGGGTAGTTAGGTGTGTCTACCCGAGATTGCAGGCCCAGGGTGCGCCCCCACAGGTGACAGGGATGGGAGAGCAAGGGAAAAAAGGGGCAGCGAAGTGGCACCAGCATCCCTCGATGCAGGTGTTGCCATCGACGCGGCGCACGCGTCGGACGAAGTGGGCCGAAGTTGCGACGACAACTCGATCAAGGTAAAAAATAGCTCTCACTCACGGGGAACTCCATGCCCAAGAGATTGTCAGGGCACTCCAGGCCCAGTGCAACAATAATATGAAGAAAGTTGTGATGACAACTCATCTCTGGTAATATATCATGCATGATGTGAGGCACTCCAGGCCCCAAAGGTACTTTAAAACATACCACCAAATATGATCAAGGGGAACGCTTTGCACCGGTCATACACTCACGCCAGGTTGTGTATAATATCGATGGCGCGACCTGCCTGGGTGCGTTCATACCCGATTGCCAGATTGTATCGTGTAACATAGAATCAATATGGATATACTGCGTTGTGTCACATACCCAAACCAGATAACACAAATGCAACTGTGTCTTAATATACAAATACATGGTAAACAGGATGATATCGAACCGCTTTCCAGATCGATGGTGCAGATAAATGCGTTGTAGCACTATGTCAATCCATACCCGCGTTTAGTATGTCTCGTAGCGGCGCTGATCCCGAACACGATTTCCATAATCATTCAACCAGCTGATAGTTGCCCCATAACCATATGCATTCGGAATCGTCGGCGTCGACGTAGATCCACTGGGACAGGAAGTACGACCACTAACAATACGTATCGTGTTGGTAGCAATGGAGATCGCGACGCCACCATGTATAGACGTTGCGGCACTCGCGCACAGCACTCCTGCTGGGGCCCCGCTCATCAGCGGCGTCGCGCTCCCGTCTTGGTGGTGCGATGGGACGGCGCGATGTAGATGAAGGGCCAGCGCCGCCAGTCCAGCCCGCGGCGTCAGCCCAGCCAGCGCCGCCAGGGGCACGGGCGGCAGCGGGGCCATCGCGGCGCGGGGGTGGAGGAGCTGGGGCGAGGCGAATGGGTTCATCAGTGGCAACTGCGAAGTCGCCCATATTACCCTTCGCGGCGCCTGCGGGTACTTGCTGGCGGAGCTCACCCAACGCGGCCCGGTTCATGTGACCCTGTCCTCTCCCGGACGAAGCTGAAAAAGGTAAAGATTCCACGGTCAAGGCGTTCGCCACGAGGCATCGCTCCGGGAGCCTGTGCCCTCCAGCCCGCATGGCCTAAATGCGCGCTGACACGGTGCAGTCGCATGCCCTCGCACGTGCCCTCCAGCGTGAACGAACACTGTTGCTTCAGACCCTGGCCTCGGTCATCTGGTTGTAGAAGATACCATCTTCCTGAAACCGAGTTGCGAGATCGGGGTGCGGATGATAAGAAGACGGCACCTTCTTTGTCAGCGTCTTCTTCTCCGCCGGCGCGACGCTGGCCGGGGCTCGGACTGCCGGCCGCCAGCCATGCGGCATGTCTGAGCTCGGCTGCGTGAGCCAGTCTGCGTAATTAGTCCTCTTCGGCGGCAGCTTCAGAACGCTGCCCCTGGATGCGAATCTGGACGTCCGCACGCATAAGCTAGCGCGCGATGTTCTCGCCCATTTCTTCGCGGATCCAATTGTGCACATCTGTCAGGAACAGAAGCTGGAATGCACCTGTTCCACGATGTCTGAATACATCGGTACATATGGCACAGGTCATCTTCGCATGTGTCGCCATTGGGGAGGTCGCGGCAGCAGCTAGCGCAATGGCGCTTTGCGGTCTGGAAGTCGGCCGCGCTGTTCCCAATGAGCTCCTGACTGCGATTGCGAGCGTTGCCGCCGGCGATCAGCTTTCGGCCAATCTCACGAACGGCATGATTTGGGACGAGGTGAGCGCGATCGGTGGCCAGATTGCTGGCCAAAGAATCAAATCTTTCATCGGTCATCGGATCAGAGAGATCCCCAGCCATGATCTGGTCGCAAGACTGGTCTGCTGAGGCCGTGCCCTGATGCTCTCGCAGGAGATTCTCCGCTCTGCAGCGAAGCTCCTGATGCAGTGCATCTTGGTCGCTGGCGTCGCCCATGCCATCGCCCTAGTGGGTGCGCAACGCGTCCATGAGTTTTTCCTGGGTAGGAGCAACGGCCGACGCCATGCTTCCAGGGTCAGCGGCAGGGGCGTTATCCTCAGCGGGTGGCGGAGTGGCGTCAGCCATGCGATTGAGCTGATATGTCATCGGGCCCGTCAGCATGTCATTGTGCTGTGGATCGCAGAGCACCGTGGTCTCCCAGAGGTTGAGGAACGGCGCCAAAGCTGGGTGATGCTTGAAGATATCAAACGCAAGAGTGCCCACCAAACAAAGTGAGGCGTCGCTCCGTACGATGGCGAAAAGACATGGAATCTAACGGAAGAGTACGAACTCCTCGGTATCGTACTAATTCATCTCCGTCGTCATCGTAGACAGGAAACGCTTGTGGCCGCAACTGTTCGGTAGTTGTTTGGCCCATGGACCGAACAAGAGAATAGTCATATGGCGCCAATCCGCCTTGGGGTCAAAACGGAACCGTATCTCGAGATGACTGTCGTAGTGGTATATGTCCCTGTATGTTGCCGTACACATTTGATCCACCTCGCACAGTGGGGTGGTCAACATCGGGACCCTTTGTGAAATCCTGCCAATCGAACGGAGGTTCATCATTTCCTCCTGAAGGCCTGGCAAAGATGGACGGCAGGTCTTCGACGATTTCAATCGTCGTAATCAGCTTCGTCTCATCAGTCTTGACGTCCCGATTGTCGTTATTCTAGAGCGCGGGCGTTGCCACCGACGCGTCGATAGCAATATCGTCGCCGATGAGCCCAAGGTGCGCGTGAACATCGCATGAGTTGAAGTGGTCAATGAACCATTCAGGCAGCTCAGTACGCAGAAGGACTGCGAACGGGAAGCCGTTCTGGTCTTCATTCTTCTCGCAGTGCCAGATGTTGGCCCAGAATGGGCCATTACCCTTGCGCGGTATCTGCGCGCTGACGCACGGTCCATTGTGAATAATGTCTATGATGGGTCCGAAGATCTTCCCTTTTCCCGGCGTGGGTGCGACATCTTTCTTTGCTGGCCGCAGGCGATCAACGGCGCGGCGACGGGCAGAGCCGTGAAGTCGTGCGCATATAAAGTCACGTGCACGTGTGCCCCGAAAACGACTGCAACAGTCCCAGGTGCCAAGAGGAAGTATCTTCACGAGTGGTTCAAAGTACTCCTTCTTGCAATCGTCCACGGTCGTCCACCAGTGGATCATTTCCAGGATGCGCGCGTCGGTCGGGGTCGGCGCAGGTGTTGCCGCGGGCTCCGCTCCGAAGAGGGGTCGGTCCAATTGGGGCTCGTCCTGCCTTGGTCCTGGTTGCAGCCCTGGCGTTCTGGGAACATTCATCGCAGCAGAGGCAGAAGGGGAACGCACCCCCGGAGGCATGAGTTTGGGGCGAAGGGTCGGGATGCACGTCCGCAGCTGCTCTGCTGCAGGTGTCACCGCCAGCGCAATCTCGCAGACATCGCACTGGCTTGGCGCTGGCAGTTTGGCCACTTCCGGATACTTCCAAATCGAAACCATGCCCGGGTACAGAGGGCCGCCTCCGACCAATCGGATGGCCAGGATGGCCATTGGAGGAATAGTCTGGGGGCACATGATGGCCCCTTGTTCACCGAGCCAGAACTCACAGCCAACGATGGTGGCCAAATGCATGTCGATGACAACGACCTGCTTCTTCTCGTTCTCGAACTTGCATCCAGCGATCGTAGTGCGAGGATTCTGTCCGTCGTGCAGAACGAAAGAACTCGAACTCTAAAATGCCTCACGCCGTGTCTGGCTGTCGGCACCGTAGCCTGGAATGATGCCGATATTGCGGATGCTGTGCCATGCGTCGCGGGTAGTGGCCTGGCGCAGGTACTTCGCATCCGCCCATGAGAGACGCTTTTGGCCCATGTTCCACGTTCGGACGTTGTCGCGCACAGCGGCGCGCCCACCAATGGCGCGAATGGCCAGCGCCTGATCCCGCGCAAAGTCTGCTCCCAAGGCGCCAGGGCCAGGGCGGCGGACGCAGACCTGGAAGCGGGCCTTCTCGTCATCGAAGTGCAGCTGTAGCGCGCGAAGAACAGCGATCACGTTGTATTCCTGTGCACTCTGCCACTGTTGGCCACTCTCGTTTGCCTGAAGCATGCGGGCATGGACGGCGGCCCCATTGGGGCCGAGATCGTTGCGAGTGAACACCTCCGACACGATGCGGCTGAAAACTTGGGAGCGATTGGCCGCGGCCCATGTATCAACGTTCTCGTGCTGCCAGGTTGGCAGGGCGGTCCAGCAGTTGTTTCAAGTCGTT